GCCCTGAAGCTGGAGATGCTCAAGGATGTGACCTTCCCACCGCTGGTGGCCCAGCTTGTCCACCTCCAGGAGCTCTCCCTGTTGAACTGCCCCGTCAAGCTGCCATTTGCCTCCCTGGTCTTCCTGCGGGACCACCTCAAGGTGATGCAGGCCACCTTTGATGAGATCAAGGAAGTGCCGCTGTGGGTCTACAGCCTGCGCGGGCTGGAGGAGCTCTACCTCTCCGGCCTCTTCAGCCAGGAACTGGGGAGGGCATCCGGCTTGGAGAGCCTCCGGGAGCTGAGGAACCTCAAGGTGCTCTCGTTGCACAGCAACATCTCCAAGGTGCCGCCCAGCATGACCGACGTCTCGACTCACCTGCAGCGTCTGTGCATTCTCAACGACGGCACCAAGCTGGTGACCCTCAACAACCTCAAGAAGCTGGTCAACGTGCGGGAGCTGGAGCTGGTCAACTGCAACCTGGAGCGTATCCCCCATGCCGTCTTCAGCCTGGTCAGCCTGCAGGAGCTGGACCTGAAAGACAACCAGCTACGCTCCATCGAGGAGATCCTCAGCTTCCAGCACTGCCGCAAGCTTGTCTGCCTTAAGCTCTGGAGCAACCACATTGCCTATATCCCCGAGCACATCCGGAAGCTCAAGGGCCTGGAGCAGCTCTACCTCAATCGCAACAAAATAGAGACCCTGCCCTCCCAGCTCTTCCTCTGCACCAAGCTCCGCTGCCTTGACCTCTCCAACAATGGCATCCAGGTTATCCCCCCGGAGGTAGGTGTGCTCCAGAATCTCCAGTACTTCGCCATCTCCTCCAACTCAGTGGAGACCTTGCCCAATGAGCTCTTCTTCTGCAAGAAGCTGAAGACTCTGATGGTGGGACACAACAAGCTCTCCACCCTCTCCCACCGCCTGGGCAACCTCTCCTTGCTCAGCAAGCTGGAATTGAAGGGGAACCGCCTGGAGGCCTTGCCGCCTCAGATTGGGCGGTGCCCGGCACTCAAGCGCAGTGGCTTGGTGGTGGAGAGCACCCTCTATGAGATGCTGCCCGTGGACATCCGGGAGAGGCTGGAGAGTGAATGAGAAGAGGGGACAGTCCGCAGCAGGGGCAGGCTCTTTGGCCACCTGCAGAAAGACTGTCACAGTGACTAGAGCTGGGAAGTGCCTCGTGTGCTCCTCTCCGGTGCAGGTGTTGCTCCCAGGCCAGAGCTGCAAAGGCACCTGGGAGATCTCCCACCAAGAGTCTTACCAAAGAATCATCCCCCCAGCCATGGCTATGGAGGGGCTCAACATTTCATCCCAGTCGGACAGTTGGTGATCCTGTATGGCAGAGCTGCCACGTTGTATCCTGGATTGCCGGGGAGGAAATTACTCTATTTATACTTATTTTTTTAGTGTTATTAACAAGCAGCGTTTATTGCTTTTAAAAAAGGACAATTTTTGTGTGTGTGTAAATAGCTCATGTTTTAAAGTGCTAGATCTCTGGCACACCTTGGTCACTGCCCCATAAACTGTACCCCAGCCCACAGTCTATCCTATGAATTTCCAGGCCAATCTGATGGGTAATCTAGAGAGGAGGCAAATGTGGTGTTCAATTGAAATTTTGCTGTGGCTTTAACCATGGGAAAGTCTTTCCTCATTCCACAGCTCCACCTACTCCACTGATTCAAAGGGATGCTTTTCTGGCATCCTTAGCCAGTGGAACTCACTGTCACAAGAGGCCAAGATCTCAGCAGGATTGAATTTCATTAGTGTTTGGTCATGTCTCAGTTTTGGCAGTCCACACCCACTGTGATGTAACCACATTCCCAAGGAAGGTTGCAGCTGGCTTTGTAGGTCATCTGCCTGGAGAGGGGAAGGAGAGTTACCTGGTTGAAGCATCTAATGGATTTACAGTACCAAGAGAAACTGGTTTTTCCACTTGGTGTGGTATGTGCTTATCATACAAATTTAAATAGGTGGGTGTGGCTCCCATTGACCCTCCCCTGTTGGATGTGGCTTCTCCTGCCTGTGACATGCCTCCTCCGCCTTGAGGCATGGCTTTTTCCACCAATGACATGGCTCTCAGGGGTTCCTCCCCTTAGTCCCACCTCTCTGTAGCAGGATTCTAGATGGGTCTGGGTTACAGGCACTGATTTCTCCTGCGCTGCAGCTAGCTGAGTCTAGACCCCTTACTCAGGCAAAGGTCATGGAAGGATTTCAGGATCGAGCCCTTCTTTTATATTCAAGGATGTATAGGGGGTGGGAGGGGTGGCAATCCACATACACCTGGTAATAGCAGTAGGCCTGAACCAGAGCCCTGGCTCTGTGCAGCTGGAGGGGAGAAGTTGGAAATGTGAACAGTGCAAACAGCCTTTATCTCTTCACCAAGCTGCGTGTAGCACTTCAAGAAACCCCAGTCTTAGCAACGCCCCAGCCACCTCGGCAGTCGCTCCCAGGACTCCTAAGAACTCCAACAGCGGACCCTTCTCGAGTGGTAGCCAGCGGCAAGGCACCCTCCAGTTATGGGAGAACCCCCCCCCCTTAGCTAGGTCCTGGAACCAGAGGACATATGGGCCGGATCCAACGTCAGTATTATCATAGTGACGGGTGAAGGTCTCAACGGAGCAGCGTCTCCGTTGTGCTGGCTGCTGCACAAACATCTCCCCCACAATGCGAGCGGGGCCCCCTTGGCACCAGGCACTGCACAAACCCCTTCCCCAACCATGACTGGGGCCTCCCCCATGCTGTGTCACCAACCTCCCTGCCCTGCCACAGAGAGGCACAGAGTTTCAGGCCAGAGGGGACCATCTAGTCTGACTTCCTGTCTATCGCAGGCTACCAGCACCCACACAACAAACCCAACTGCATAATGAGACTGGCGTATCCCAGGAAAGCAGACTGCAGACTATTATGTGCCACAGGCAGAGGAGAGGAGGGACCGAGGTGCACCAGAGCCCGAGGCCTCCATGATGGCAGGGAGATGTTTAAGTGAGCTATGCCCAGATAATCCTGGCAAGTGCCCTACACCCACATGCTGCAGAAGAAGGTGGAAGCCTCACAAGGTCCCTGCCAATCTGACTTGAGGGAAAATTCCTCCCCCCTGTCCCCACATATGGCCATCACTGGGACCCAGAGCATGTGCACGAGAACCACCAGACAAGTGCCTGACAAAGGGAGAACGCTTGGTACCTGCTCAGATCCCTGGCCCACCCTGCCCACTAGCCTGTCTCCAGCCCTGATGTGTCAGAAGAGGGAGATTAAAACAAACCCCTCCCAGAATACATGGGGAGGTTGTGGGGGAGGGAATCCCTTCCTGAGCCCTGCCGGTGGCTGGCTGAAACCCTGGGGCACATGCTATTAGGAACATAAGACCCAGGGGTGCTGAGTCCTGCTCCCCAGCAACCCCATCACACAACTGCCCTCATCAGTGTGTCCAGCTCCCTCTTAAAACCAACTCATCTCAGCCCCTGTGGCCTCCCTCCACCCCCAGCCTCCCTTCAGTTATCCTGCTGCTCACCCCTAATCCCAGCCCTTCTCCTCCAGTCTTCCTCCCTAATCCCATAGGATACCCAACAGGGGGCATTACACCCTCCTCCTCCTGCCACCCTCCAGCCCTATCTGCATCCCGAATTCCCTTCAGCGGGCATCTGACTGGGGGGCAGGGGCTTAGCCGCTCCCTCCCCCATGCTGTACGTGGGCCCCAGGCCAGGCTGCAGATCTGACAGGAGCCAGCCACGCCCCACCCACGTGGCAGCCGGCCAGGGAACACTCGGGGACGGGACGGGGCCCGGCCCCACCACCTCCTGCCCTGGCTCCAAGTTACTGGCAGGAAGGAGCTGGGGGCAGATGGGGGCAGACTGGAACTTTAGGGCCGGGGTTGAGAGTGCATCTCAACGTAGGCCCATGGTGGCTGCTCGGGGGGGGGGGGGCTTTGCTACAGGGGGTTAGGAATTGAGGTGCTAACCCCCCCAAACACAACCCATTCCCACCCCCATCTCTGCCTTATAGACACACAAGCCTCCCATCCCCCCAACAGCCCTTACACACCACACATCCATCTCAACACATACCACCTCACACCCACCCCTGCCTAATAGACCGTGCCCCCCATTACCTCCTCCATGTACTGGGGTGCCCTGGGAATGGCTATCCATCGCCATCTGCTGGCCAACGCTGTGCGAGCTGCACCCAGAGCCCCTGTCTCCTGTTCTGTGGCATCTGTGGATCAGAGCTCAGCAGCAGGATCTCTCCACCGCTCTGGATCCCATCCCCTGGGTTTGCGTTGGAGTGCATTCAGGGATTGGAGTCCTTTTTCCATTAGACAAAGGACTGGGCTCATGATCCCGGCAGCGCCTCACCCCAAAGCACTTTCTACAGTCCCTCAGTCCTACTGCTGGCCTCGGCAGAGAATCGTTACCCTTTGGATCTACCGGGAGCTGAAGGTGGGAAGCCACTGCCTGTGTCTGTTGTATTATAAACAGGGGGAAATAAAAATATTCCAGACGAGACCCTTGGATCCATCCCCACAACCCAGTTAGGGAGAGAACCCAGGAGTCCTGATTCCCAGCCTTCTCCCCTCCCTCCGCTCTAACCACTGGATCCCACTCCTCTTCCAGCGTTAGGGATAGAACCCAGGTGTCCTGATTCTCCCTGCACTGACCACTGACGGCCTACAGCTGGGAACAGAATCCACCAGGAGTTCTGCCTCTCAGGCCTTGGTCTGGTGGCTGGAGAGTGGGGAGCTGAGATTCAGGATTGCCTGCATCCTGTTGCCAGCTCTGTTGCTGACATGCTTTGTGACCTTCAGCCTTCTGTGCCTCAATTTCCCCATCTGTCCAAGGGGAGGGGTGGTCATTACCCCAGCAGTGGGTCTAATGAGGGAAGTGCTTTGGGTTAGAGTTGGCTGGATCCTTTTGCTAACACAGCTCTTCCCAGCCGGCCCATGAAACAAATGAGGAAGTCACGCTCCCTCCTTCCACAATCCTTCCGTTGCTCCCTGGAGCTGCCATGGAGACAGGAGAGAGAGAGCCACTCCAATGGGCCGGATGTGGAGGGCTCCGGCTGGGGACAATCCAGGCCCCCGGCCAAGACTGGGGGGTGCTGGAGGAGACTCTTCCCTGTAGAGAAGAGACTTGGTGGAGCAAGGATCTAGGGCAAGCGGCAGCCCCAGGCTCAGCAGCAGGTGAGGGGAGGGGGCCTGGATGAGGAGAGGCAGGAGGTGGGAAGGAAAGGGTTCGAGGTTCTCTGGGGCTGTTCCCCGGGCCAGAGAGGGGGGCCAGACCCCCTGCTGCCGGGCAGGATCGGGCCTGAGCGGGTGGGGAGGCTGCTGGGTATGAGTAAGGGGCTCCCCCTGGGATTGGTGTGGGGCAGGGAGCGGTTAGCAGAGCTGAGGGGCAATAAAGAACTCAAGTTAGTTAGTTGCAGGGAGAGAAAACTTTGTTCTCTTCTGGGTCATGGGCCATTCCTCTCCCTCTTTCTCTCTCCTTCTTCCAGTCTTTCTCTCTCGTTCCCTTTTCTCCCCCCAAAAAACATCCCTGGACTAACCCCAAAGGGGGCCAGAGCCAGAGCCAGCTGTTCAAGAGGGTGTCCCACGGCGACAGGGATCCGGCCCCATGGAGACGGGGATCTGGTTCTGTTTCCGCAGGAGTGGGGAGGGGACGAGCTACTTCTGTAGCTGGGAGGAGGTACCTGCACCACCCTGGGTGCTGGGAAAGGTTTCGGAGGGGGGAGGGTGCTGGTGATAAATCCAGCTGGTAGGAGCAGCTGGCTGGTTGGGGAAAACGGTCTCATTCAGAGCACTGGAGGGGGCAGGGATCCGAGCTGGTTTACATGCCTTGCCCCAGGTAAGCAGGTGGCCAAGGGCAGCTGTGTGGTTAGTGCATTGGCCTGTGGTTCTGGAGTCCTGGCTCTGCCAGCCACTCCCTGTATGAGGCTGGACACATCACGGCATCGCTCCGGGCTGCCCGTGGTGAGACAGGTGCGGGGATTCGTCCCCTGGCTGGGACATTGTCAATTCTTTCTAATGAGAAGGCAAAGAATTGTTAGAATTGCATTTAATTCTCTCACCCCAACTGCACTTCATATGGTTTGGAACAATAACCATCCCAGCAACGGTCCTGACACTCAGCCCCCGCTGCTGTAACCGTCAGACCCCACTCCCCTGCCAGAGCTAGGGAGAGAGCCCAGGAGTCCTGACTCTAGGCCACACCACTTTATTTAAGGTCTAGCCTTTCGGATGTCAGTGGTTCACTCTACTGGCATGAGATCAGGGTGGATCTGAGCAGGGTGGAGGGAAATCAGGGGACGAAGTGAGCGATGTCCTTCGTGGGAGGAGAGGAGAAGGCTCGTAAGTCTAAGGCCTAACAGGGAGACTGTCAAGGCTCCATTGGTCCTTCTCAGCCCTGCTAGGGAGGGATGGGGTGTGCATGAGCTCAGACTCTGGGAGGTGAAATACCTTCCTCCATTGGCGCCTGATGCTGGCTTGGGCTCCCAAGAGACGAGATGCCTGGATTCAGGTGCCCCACGTGAGAGGGGGCTGGTTCTGCCAGGAGGAGCTGGGCACTTTGCACATCCACCTCCTGTGAACAGAGCAGCGATTCATATGCAGAGCCAGGACTGAACCTCTTGCCCGACAGCATCGCGAAGCCAGGCAGCTGCCTCATAAGCTAAGGGAGCCACTCCCAGAGCCAGCAGCAGCAGTAAGTCCTTTGTCCCTTTGGTGAGAGCATCATGGGAAGGTGCTAGGCCCTCCCTGAGACACAAAGTCAGGGCACCACTCCATAGGCAGAGTGCAACATTTAACCCCTCCTCTGCTACATCATTTCAGTGCTGGTTCGCCTCCTCTCGCCCACTCCTGTGCATTCAAACTGCAGGGCAGCCCTTCTGCCAAGTTTCTCCCTCTCTCTGTTGGGCAGGATCCTGTGGGGAGGTGGCAGAGCAAAGGGCTACAGTGGCAAGATGGTTATTAAGGGGATCACCTGGTCCAGACCTCTGAATCTACCAACCCCAGGAGTGGGTGGCCAGAGGGACTGCAGGCTGGTACTGCTACACCCCCGCTTTTAAACAGCCCCCAAGGGGTCCCACTCTTCCTTTAGGTTAGCCCACGCAACCTCCCCGTCTCTGAGACTGAGCCGCTGGGCTCCAGCCGTACTGCTTCACCCCATGGAGCTTTGCCCAGAGAGTCCAACTGGGACATATGCCGAGCCAGAGACTTGCTCACTCCACAGGGTCCAACGCACCCTGGGAAAGATTTGCAGTGACACCAAGCAGCCTTTACAGTCGGGTCTATTACAACAGCACGGGAAGTCCTTAGGCGAGCACAGAGAAGCAAAGGTTAAGACATATCCACCTCGCCAAGCCAGCACCCCACCCAGCCAAGCAGCCGTGGGCTCCATTTCAGGCTCTCTCTCTGTCAGACCCAGGTGAGAGCCCTGGCTACAGCACTTCCCCTGCCACTTCTTCCCTTTGTTCTTGAGCTGGGGCCCTGGACTGGCAAGTGGAGAAGTGGGGAACTCCCCCTGGTTGCTAGCTGTGGATGTGCTGGCCGCTGGGGTTCCCACTGTCTTTTTGGTTTCCAGCCAGTCCTTCAGTGAGCCATTCAGTCCACCCCAGACAGCCAGGTGAGACACATGCCTCAGGGCTCGTGTCCTGGCCCTTTCCCCCACTGGTTAGCGATGCAAAGTACGGAGGGAAACTGAGGCACACACAGCAAAAAAATTCCCACTTCATCACAGGGCCCCAGCTGAGCTCTGGGTTCTCAGCTTCTTTGACCAGCAGGCCCTCAAATGTCCCCTAGAAGACAGAGGCAAGAGGAGAAGGGCGGAACCTCATCACTGAGCAAACATGGAAGCAGCATGTGTGCTGGCCCTTTCGCGGGGTGGCAAGAGGGCAGGGGACCCTGGGGAATGCCCAGCACCCACCCCTCATGTCTCTTCACTATCTTTGAACCTCCACATTCAAGGCTTTCTATGCCATTAACTGTTTCTCTGTTAGGTGTATTATGGTAGCACTTAGAGGCTCCATTGTGTCAGGTGTTGCACAGACACACAGTGAGAGACAGTCCCTGTCCCAGCTGAGATCAGGGCCCCCTGTGCAGGGTGCTGCACAGATACCCAGTCAGAGACAGTCCCTGGTCCAAAGAGCTCACAGATTAAATAGGCAAAAGAAGGATCATTATCCCATTCTACAGATAGAGAAACTGAGGCACAGGGAGACGAAGTGATGTGACCAAGATCCCAGAGGGAGTCTGTGGCAGAGCCAGGATCTCCCAAGGACCAACCCAGGCTCAGAACACCTCTAAGCCACTGACCCTTATCCTTTCCCTCCCACCAGCCATGTTTTCCCTGACGGAAGTGGCCTGCCTGAGTGACGGCCGGGCCCCGTTCAGTACTCTGAAGCCCTGGTGGGACGTTTTCACCGACTACTTGGTCCTGGCAATGTTGGCCATCTCCATCATCGCAGGGACCCTGCTGATCTCCACAGATCAGGTGGTGTGCCTGCCTGTCGGCAGGACCAGCATGGCTGCAAGTGGGTCCCCAGCTCCCAGACCTGCCTTAGGGCCTCTGGATGGCCCAGAACCCGAGGCTTCTCCGGTCGGCACCAGGAGGAAACTTCCTGCTGCCCACAGTGGACACCCAACCAACCTTGACTACCAGCAGTACCTGTACATTGGCCAGGTCTGCTACCACCAGGCGCTGCCGTGGCACTCCAAGTACTCCCCATACCTGGCCCTCCTGCACGCGCTGCTCTTGATGGTCTGTAACAACTTCTGGTTCATATACCCCAAGACCTCCTCCAGGATCGAGCTGTTCCTCTCCATCCTCCGGAAGTGCTTCCACTCACCCTGGACAACCAAGGCTCTCTCAGAGACAGCCTGCCAGCCCTCGGAAGGCAAGCTTGGCCGGATGAAACCCTGCTCTGCCCAGATCTCTCAGGTTGGCGCTGGCTCTCAGGCGGAGCAGGCATCCTCCTTCCCTAGCGCCACCATCCTGGACCGGAAGGACAGGGAGCAGGCCAAGGCACTCTTTGAGAAGATCCGCACCTTCCGGGCGCACACTGAAGCTGCCAGCCTCCTCTACTGGGTCTACGTGGGGCAGACGGTGTTCAAGGTGGCAAAGCTCTTGGCCGTGCTGGGCTACACGTCCAGCTCTGCCGGCACCATTGCTTTCAGGCACATGTGCCGGCCGGGCCTGGAGGACCTCGCTGGCCACGCCACCTTCTCCTGCACCCACAGCCTGGCCTACATCCTGCAGAAGCTGCTGCTGAGCTACCTGGCCCTGGTGCTGCTCAGTGGGCTGGTGGGGGTCTACACCCTCTACTGGCTCCTCCGGAGGCCGCTCAGGGAGTATTCCTTTGGGCGAGCCAGCGAGGAGAGCAGCTTCAGGTCTGTCCCCAATGTCTGCAATGACTTGGCCTTCCTGCTGCACATGGCTGACCAATATGACCCGCTCTGCTCCAAGAGGATTGCCATCTTCCTCTCCACCATGAGCGAGAGCCAACTGCTGGAGATCGGACAGGAGCACCGCAGGGACTATGAGGAGCTGCGGCGGCAGGTGGGGAGGGACGCCTTGGGGCCGGCTGGAGCTGAGGCTCTGTGCCCTTCCGGCTCTGCCCCAGGCTGTCTATCAGAAGGCAGACCTGGAGGTGCTGCGGCTGGAGTGCATGGTGGAGGTGAAGCTCTCTGCCAAGGTGGCCCAGATGGGGGCGCTGTCTGAGCTGCAGCTGTACCGCTGCCAGCCACGATGGAGCCCATGGCCTTGGCTTTCCTGCAGGAATGGCTCAGGGGGCTGCACGTCCAGTTCACTGACATCACCAAGATCCCCTCCTGGCTTTACTCCTTGAAGAACCTGCACCAGCTGCATCTCTCCAGTCACCTCTGCTCCAACGTGCTGGCCCTGGAGGTTCTCTGGGAGCTCCAGAGCCTGGAGATTTTGCTGCTCCAGACCAAGCTGACCAAGCTTCCTTGCTCTATGTCCACCCACCTCCGCCATCTCTGCATCCAGAACGACGGGACCAAGCTGGAGGCACTGGGCAGTCCTGAAGAAGACAAGCAGCCCCCAGCAGCTGGAGCTGCTCTGCTGCCAGCTGGAGAGGATCCCACCGCTGGTCTGGCACGTAACCGGCCTGCAGAGGCTGGGTCTGCGTTCCAGCCGCATCCGCAGCCTTGAGGAGGGGACTGGCTTCCAGCATCTGGCACAGCTCACCGGCCTGAAGCTGCGGCACAACTGCATCGCCACCCTGTCCGCTTCCACTGGGGCAGCGGGCAGCCTGGAGGAGCTGGTGCTATCCCACAACGAGCTGGAGTCTCTGCCCCATGCCTTCTTCACCCTGAAGAGACTCAGGCACCTGGACCTCAGCCACAACCTCCTTCGTCTCCTCCCCGCGGAGACTGGCCAGCTGGGGACGCTGCAGCACCTCTCCATCACCGGCAACAGGATCAGGGCACTGCCCAGCCAGCTCTTTGCCTGTCTGGAGCTAACATCTTTGCAGCTGGCGGACAACGCTTTGACCATGGTGCCGGCTGAGATCGGGAGGTTGGTGCTACTCTCCAGGCTGGAGCTGACAGGGAACCCCTTGGAGTCACTCCCACTTAAGCTAGGCTGCTGCTCCCTGCTTAAGCAGACTGGGCTGAGTGTGGACAACACCCTCTTCGAGACCCTGCCGTCTCACGTGAAGCAGGTGCTCGCCACACCCGTCTCTGCTCTCTCCCCCGTGAGGCCTTTGGCTGCTCCAGAAACGTCCCTGGGGGGTGGACAGCTGGGGAGCCTGTTATGTGGCTGGTCTGTAGCTCCGGGGCACAGGGAGGAGATCTTGGTTAGCAGCAGCAAGTGGACAGAGCCCAGGCACCGGGTCTCCGAAGACCTTGCTGGTCATGGAGCCCCCTTGTCCAGGTGGCTGTATCTGTACCAAGTACAGCACCTGCTGCATCATAACCACAGAGCAAAATCTAGCCCCCACCCAAGTAGGGCAACCCTGGCCCATGCTCCTTGCTCACAAAGGGGCTTGGGTGCAGCTGAATCTGGGGTGGCAACTGAAGGGGGGCAGCCCAGGCTGGGGGGATGGGCTCTCCCTGCACAGCCCAGCTCCATGGTGTCTCCCTGGACAACCGGGCTTAGGAGAAGGGTCAGGGAAGCCACAGCAGCTGGAAGATCAGCTGCCCTGTGGATCCATAGCCTGTTACACCGGCAGAACCGGGAGATCTGCTGTGGAGGGGCTACAGGGCCACCCTATGGCCTGGAGGAGGAACGACACCTTCCCCAAAATACCCAGTGCTTCCCCCCTGGATATGAGGCAGCAAGGAGGATATGACCCAAGTCAGCACAGATAAGCTCCTTACCTCCTCTCACACCATGGGACACTGGGCCAGAGGGGGCTCCATTAATCAGTGTGGACACCAGCCCCTTGAAATCCTCACATGAAACACTGGAATAGCCAGACTGGATTGCAGCAGGGGGCGCGTCTAGCCCAGACTCCTACGGTGGCCGACACCAGCGACTTCAGAAGAAGGTGGAAGGAGGCACCCAGTGGACAGCAATGGAGTAACCTGGACCCAGGGGAAGATTCCTCCTAGCCCCCAACAGCCCATGCCCTGGAGCAGCAAATCTGTCCCTAAACTCCACTGTGTTGTAGTATTTGCTATTCTAACTCTGGACGTTTCCGTTACCCGTGGAAACATCCAAACCTGCGTTGTTCCTGGCTTCAGTGGTACCTTGTGGCAGTGAGTTCCACTGGCTTATTAGGGAGCAGCAAGAGCTTAGAGCCCCCCAAGGCACACATTTCAAATGCAAGGGAGAGGGGGACGAGGACAAGGGAGGGAATCTCTCAGCCAACCTAAAAACAAAACGAGTCATGTGTCCGTGCACCGTTTCTCCGATGCGGCCACCGTGGCCGCCTGTGGCCACCAGGGGGTTTCCCTGCGGCCAAGGCAGTTTCCTGTGCAGCATCAGCCCCTCCCCGTCCGCCCTGTTGCTCCGGCATGTGCTGCCTCTCTGGAGACACAGGGGGGACACACAACGCTTAAGGGGCAGGTGAGGAGGCGGCAGCGGGCGGGGGGGGTGATGAGGCCAGTGGCGAGTGGGGGGCCCTGGCGGAGGAGTAAGGAGGCGAGCGGCCAGCCAGCAGCAGGGTGAGGAGGTGGGCAGGGGGGTCTGGCTGCGAGCGGCGGGGTGAGGAGGCGAGCACTGGGCGGACAGTGGGGTGAGGAGGTGAGTGGGCAGGATGGTGGGGGAGGAGACGAATGGCAGTGATGGGGGCCCTGGCAGAGGAGTAAGGAGGCGAGCGGCCAGCCAGCAGCAGGGTGAGGGGGGCGGGTGGGAATCTGGCTGCGAGCGGGGGGAGGGGGGGCTGAGGAGGTGGGAGGCGAGTGGCGGTGGAGTGAGGAGGCAAGCCGGGCGGGGGGGTGAGGTGGTGGGAGGTGAGTGGGGGTGGAGTGAGGAGGAGGAAAGCAAGCGGGGGTGGAGAGAGGTGGTGGGAGGCTAGTGGGGGTGGAGAGAGGAGGTGGGGGTGGAGGTGGAGGTGAGGGAGGCGGGAGGCGGGAGGCGAGCGGGGGTGGTGGGAGGTGAGTGGGAGTGCAGAGAGGTGGTGGGGGTGGAGAGAGGTGGTGGGAGGCGAGTGGGAGTGCAGAGAGGTGGTGGGGGGGGGGGGGGGAGGCGAGCGGGGGTGGAGAGAGGTGGTGGGGTGGGGAGGGGTGAGGAGGCGGGAGGCGGGAGGCGAGCGGGAGTGCAGAGAGGTGGTGGGGGTGGAGAGAGGTGGTGGGAGGCGAGCGGGGGTGGAGAGAGGTGGTGGGGTGGAGAGAGGTGGTGGGAGGCGAGCGGGGCTGGAGAGAGGTGGTGGGGTGGAGTGAGGAGGCGGGAGGCGAGCGGGAGTGCAGAGAGGTGGTGGGGGTGGAGAGAGGTGGTGGGAGGCGAGCGGGGGTGGAGAGAGGTGGTGGGGTGGAGAGAGGTGGTGGGAGGCGAGCGGGGCTGGAGAGAGGTGGTGGGGTGGAGTGAGGAGGCGGGAGGCGAGCGGGAGTGCAGAGAGGTGGTGGGGGTGGAGAGAGGTGGTGGGAGGCTAGCGGGGGTGGAGAGAGGCGGTGGGGGTGGAGAGAGGTGGTGGGAGGTGAGCGGGGGTGGAGAGAGGTGCTGGGGGTGAAGTGAGGAGGCGAGCAGGGGTGCAGAGAGGTGGCGAGGGTGGAGTGAGGAGGCGGGAGGTGAGCGGGGAAGCCCTGGGCTGGCCGCAGCCATGAGACCCACCCCCCCACACCTGCCCGGAGGAGCCCTGGGCTCACCGAAGCCCAAAGCGCCTCCCGCTCCCTCATCCAGAGGAGCTCCGGGCTGGCCAAAGACCCGAGCCCCCGCACCTGCCGGAAGGAGCCCCTGGCCAGCCGCAGCCGTGCCTCCCTTCCTCTCCCCTCCCCTCTGCTCCCCAGACCAAGCCACCCAGATATGTTTTTAATTATTATTTGGACTTCTATTATGTAAAAGCATTTTAAAATTTACTTCAGAATTGTTATACAACCACTTTTACCAAAAAAAGCAAAAGAAACAATAATAAAAAAGACAAGAACGTGCAAAGCACCTTCTTTGTGTTTCTGTTCTGTTAGGTCCAGTAAAGAATAGAGATAACTGTGCATGTTTTTATTGTTGGGTCTGCAAAAAAACCCCAACCCTGACATAAATAAAGGACAATGATTTGGATTTATATATATGCGTATTACTTAATTAACTTTAGGAAAAATAAATAATTTTAGGAAAAAGTGCAGGTGCAGCCACCAGCAAGAGTTGGTGGCCACACTCTGAGGCCACCAAAAATTGGTTGTGAGAACCCCTGTTTTAGTGCATTTTTGGAGCTCTCCTCTGAGTGAGGCGAGCAGCCCAGGGGCCCAGGCCCAAATCCTGCACCAGGATCCTGTCCCACAAAACTTGTGGAGGGTCGGGGCTTGAGGGATGCACGGTCAGATTTTCAAGCGCCCTTGAACACTGGCGTTTTGAGCTCATTTGAAAAGATGGCTGTCACGTGCCGCAATGGGAGCTGCTGGGCACTAAGCAGGGTGGGGTGGGGACGGACAGGGCCCCCCATTCTGGGCAGGGAGAATCTGGGCTCTCTGTTTTGGGGGGTGAGCCATAGGGCGGAATCTGGGTCCTAATGGGTGGGGAGTAGGCTCCAGGGGAGAATGTGGCCCCTATGCAGGGGGTGAGCCCCACAAGGGGGGTGGGGAAAAATCCATTTGGGTGAAGGAGCAGTGAAATCTGGCCCCGAGTTCTTCTGAAAATCTGGCTTTTGATGTGACAACCAGCCCCAGCTAGAACTTTCTGTGGCTCCTTTGGGGGAGATGCCACGTTTTTAACTAGCCCAATCAGACGCCACCGGGCCCACACCCGGGTGCACTGGAAGCCTCAGGCAGCCAGGTGGGCTGTCACGCCCAGAGCAGATGCCCCATTCCTATCCTGCTGGGACTTTTGGATCCACTTCTTCCCCCCTCTGCAATCACGTCCATCTCTCTGTCGGATAAAAGCACCATAGCACGCCCCAGGGGTGAGCACATCCCCAGTCTGGTGCCCCAGCCCCTCTTAGCCTGGTCTGCTCCAGCCCGGCCCTGGCTTTGGGGCCCTGAGCCACAACCTGTCCCGCTATTGTGCAAGGCTGTGAGGTGCACTAGGCTCTCTCTCTCCATTCTGCTGGCGGGACATGAGGTTTATTTGGAGCCCAGCTCCCCGCCTCAGAGGAGCTGGGTGGCCCCTGAATGGGGGGGATTTTCACAGGGTTTCCCCAGGAGTCAGCAGACTGGGGATGGGGAGTCCCCAGGACTCCCAGGACAGAAGGGTTTAAGGGGGAGGCACAACTGCTAGACTAGGGAGTGTTGGGGGAGAGGCAGGTTTCCCACGCTGGGGGGGGGAGGGAGAGTCGGGGGGAGGGTCTCTAGTGGGGGGGTGGTAGCAGGGTGAGAGGCTGGGTGAGGAGGAAGGTGGTGGGGAGTGGCAGAGGGACTGGAAGGGTCCCCAGGCAAGAGTGGGGGGAGGAGGAAGATGGGGGGAGTGCAGTGGAAGGGGCTGGGTCCCTAGGCTGAGAGAGGAGGGGAGGGGGAGGGTCCCTAGGCTGAGGGGGAGGGGGGGGTCCGGGTCCCCAGGAGGGTCTAGGCTGAGAGGGAGGGGGAGGGGGAGGGTCCTAGGCTGAGGGGGGAGGGGGAGGGTGGTCCCCCAGGAGGGTCTAGGCTGAGAGAGGAGGGAGGGTGGTCCCCAGGGGGCCTAGGCTGAGAGAGGAAGGGGAGGGGCGGGTCCCCGGGGAGGGGGAGGGTCTAGGCTGAGGGGGGAGGGGAGGGTCGGCCCCAGGAGGGGCCTAGGCTGAGAGAGGAAGGGGAGGGGCAGGGTCCCCGGGGAGGGGAGGGTCCTAGGCTGAGGGGGGGGGGAGGGTCGGTCTCCCAGGAGGGTCCCTAGGCTGAGAGGGGGGAGGGGGAGGGGCCCTGGCTGAGGGGGGAGGGGGAGGGTCGGTCCCCCAGGAGGGTCCCTAGGCTGAGAGGGAAGGGGAGGGGCGGGTCCCGGGAGGGGGAGGGTCCCTAGGCTGAGGGGGGAGGGGAGGGTCGTCCCCAGGAGGGTCCCTAGGCTGAGAGGAAGGGGAGGGGCGGGTCCCCGGGGGGGGGAGGGTCCCTAGGCTGAGGGGAGGGGGGGGTCAGGGGGTCCCTAGGCTGAGAGGAAGGGGGGGGCGGGTCCCCAGGAGGTCTAGGCTGAGAGAGGAAGGGGAGGGGCGGGTCCCGGGGAGGGGAGGGTCCCCAGGAGGGCCCCAGGAGGGTCCTGGCTGAGAGAGAAGGGGAGGGGCGGGTCCCGGGGAGGGGGGGTCCTAGGCTGAGAGAGGAAGGGGAGGGGCAGGGTCCCCGGGGAGGGGGAGGGTCCCTAGGCTGAGGGGGGAGGGGGAGGGTCCCCCAGGAGGGTCCCTAGGCTGAGAGAGGAAGGGGAGGGGCAGGGTCCCCGGGGGGGGAGGGTCCCCAGGAGGGTCCCTAGGCTGAGAGGGAAGGGGAGGGGCAGGGTCCCCGGGGAGGGGGGGGTCCCTAGGCTGAGGGGGGGGGGTCCAGGAGGGTCCCTAGGCGAGAGGGAAGGGGAGGGGCAGGGTCCCCGGGGAGGGGAGGGTCCCTGGCTGAGGGGGGAGGGGGGGGTCCCCAGGAGGGTCCCTAGGCTGAGAGAGGAAGGGGAGGGGCAGGGTCCCCGGGGAGGGGGAGGGTCCCCCAGGAGGGTCCCTAGGCTGAGAGAGGAAGGGGAGGGGCAGGGTCCCCGGGGAGGGGGAGGGTCCCTAGGCTGAGGGGGGAGGGGGAGGGTCCCCCAGGAGGGTCCTAGGCTGAGAGAGGAAGGGGAGGGGCAGGGTCCCCGGGGAGGGGGAGGGTCCCTAGGCTGAGGGGGGAGGGGGAGGGTCCGGGTCCCCCAGGAGGGTCCCTAGGCTGAGAGAGGAAGGGGAGGGGCAGGGTCCCGGGGAGGGGGGGGTCCCTAGGCTGAGGGGGGAGGGGGAGGGTCCCCGGAGGGTCCCTAGGCTGAGAGAGAAGGGGAGGGGCAGGGTCCCAGGAGGTCCCTAGGCTGAGAGAGAAGGGGAGGGGCGGGTCCCCGGGGCGGGGGGGTCCCTAGGCTGAGGGGGAGGGGGAGGGCCCAGGAGGGTCCCTAGGCTGAGAGAGAAGGGGAGGGTCCTAGGCTGAGGGGGAGGGGGGGTCCCCAGGAGGGTCCCTGGCTGAGAGAGAAGGGGAGGGCAGGGTCCCCGGGGAGGGGAGGGTGGAGGTCCCTAGGCTGAGAGGAGGGGAGGGCAGGGTCCCGGGGAGGGGAGGGTCCCTAGGCTGAGGGGGAGGGGAGGGTCCCCAGGAGGGTCCCTAGGCTGAGAGGAAGGGGAGGGCAGGGTCCCGGGGAGGGGGAGGGTCCCCAGGAGGGTCCCTGGTGAGAGGGGAAGGGGAGGGGCGGGTCCCGGGGAGGGGAGGGTCCCTGGTGAGGGGGGAGGGGCGGGTCCCCGGAGGGTCCCTAGGCTGAGAGGAAGGGGGGGGCGGGTCCCCGGGGAGGGGGAGGGTCCTAGGCGAGGGGGGGGAGGGTAGGAGGGTCCCTGGCGAGGGGGAAGGGGCGGGTCCCCGGGGGGGGGGGGTCCCTAGGCTGAGGGGGGGGGGTGGGGTCCCTAGGCTGGGGAAGGGAGGGGGGTCCGGGGGGGGGGGTTGAGGGGGGGGAGGGTCCCCCAGGAGGGTCCCTAGGCTGAGAGAGGAAGGGGAGGGGCAGGGTCCCCGGGGAGGGGGAGGTCTCTGAATCCCGTAGGAGAGTTTCTCTAAAACCCAGGCCCTGAAGCCTCCAACAAGCTGGCTCGGGGCGCATGCGCATTAAGAGTTGTCCGACACAGGATGAGCAGGCTGAAATACCCACGAACAACCACAAGAGGGCACCAGAATCGCACGCACAGCAGTCCCTTTTCAGTCCGAGGAGCTCATCTCAACCGGCAGGGGGCGCGGTCGGAGAGCTCGGCACGGACGCATGCGTACAAATGCCCCTCGTCGGTAGTGGGTGTGTGGCGCGATTACGGCGGCGCAGCTGGTTCAATCCCGCGCCTGCGCAGCGTGGCTCGCCAGGAGCTACGGCGGCTCGGCGGGCTCATGGGGCGCCTGCGCAGCGTGGTGTTTGTGTATTCTGGCTGCGAGGCGGCGCTGGCTCCGGGGGGAAGATGGCGGCGTCCTCGCTGGAGCAGAAACTGTCCCGCCTGGAGGCCAAGCTGAAGCAGGAGAATCGGGAGGCCCGGCGGAAGATCGACCTGAACCTGGAGATCAGCCCAGCCCGGGCCCGGCCCAGTAAGGGGGGGCCGCGAGAGGAGGGGCCCCGGGGGTGACAGGGGCCCCGGGGCGGGGCCTGAGGGGGCGAGCTTGGCAGGGGAAGGGTCTGAGCTCTGGGGGTCTTGGAGTGGGAGGGGCCCCGGCATGGCAGGAGCGCGAGGGGAGGGGTCTGAGCTCTGGGGGGTGGGGGGTCCCCGTGGGAGGGGGTGCTTGAAGACTGGGGCCCTGGAGGGGAGGGGCCTAAGGGGGTTTGGGCAGGGAGGGGCGGGACTTGGGGAGTGAGGGAAAGGGGATTGAGGCCTGTGAGTAAAGGCTGTGAGGGGCCTCTGGGATGACAGGTGGGGTGGGGGTGAGAGAGGAGCCATTGGCCCCAGGGATCTGTGCGGGGAAAGAGGGCGAGGTGGGCCTCTGGTGGGAGGAGTTGGGGGGTTGGAGAAGGGGGATAGGGAGGGCCCTGAGTGGGGAGGGAGACAGGAATCTGAGGCAGGTGGGCTTGTAGTTGGGGTGGGGGGGGGAGGGACTGTTCTGGGGGAAAGGAGGGATCCAGGCTGAAGAGGTTGGTTTTTGGAGTTGGCAGTGCAGTGGGCCATGATGGAGGGGAGAAGGGTGTGCGACCAGCAGAGGGGACTCTGCCACTCTTTGTGACAGTTTTGTTTGTGATGGGTGGAGGAGAATAGATGGGACTGGGATCATAATGGTGTTGGGGGGATGAGGGGTGGAAGGATGATTGGGAGTCTCTCCATATTCTGGGAGAAGAGGGAATGGGGAAGTGAATAAGGATCTCCCCAAGGGACATGGGGACAGTACAGCAGGGATTGCTGCTTGCTGTATATGTGGGAGAGGGATGTTCAGGTAGAGATGATAAGAACCGGGGTTGCCCCTTACCACCTGGCCTATATGAGGAGGAGAAGGGAGAGACCATTGGCTATGCAGAGTGAGGGAGGAGAGAGTGAGCTGATCAGGTTGCCTGGTATGTAACACCCCATTTGTTTGGAGACAGGATGAGGGCTTCCCCATAGGTGACCTGTCAATATTAATGGTGAAAGTGCTTTTGGGGTGGTCATCTACTGAGGCCTTAGGAGAGGGTACATGTGCAAGACTCTAAATTGGTGGGTGTGGGAATAAGGTAGATGATATTTTTAATGTTCTGAGCATGCAGTGATTTGGGTGGAAATGCCAGTCTCTTCTTATCCTGTCAACTGGCACCTCAGCCAGGCTTGGAGCATGTGGCGAACATGTGTGTGTGTGCACATGTGCAAACTGACTTGTAGCACACTTGAGGCTACCAAAAAGCAAATGTCAGTCAGTTGCATAATTGTGCGAGATAGTTAGATGTGGAAAGGTTTGTGTGTCCTTTCTGCCTTGGGTTCAGGCTAGTCAGTCAGAGAGGAAGAACAGTGCTTTTACTTCTGAAGCTTTGTGTGGCTGAATGAGGGTAGGAAACATGTTCTAATCGTGAGTAAGGCGGTGGGACTAGGACTTGGGAGACCTGAGTTCAGTTACTGCCTTAGGCACAGACCTTGAGTCACTTAATCTAGCCAGTGCCTCAGTATCCCATCTGTAATATGTGGATAATACCACCCTATTTGACAGGGCTTCCATGAGGGTAAAGTTCCTTAATGAGTGTGAGCAGCTCAGATATTATTGTGATGTGGGCTTTTTAAATTATTAGAAAGAGGATTGTGTAATTAAATGATGGTTACATGATCATGTAATTATATGCTCACAACAAGCCTTGGGAGTGCTAGATTCTCCTGCTGGCCCAGTTACCTATCAGGCAATAATTTCTGGAGAGCGATTACAAGGTGATGAGTTTTCAAAAGCTACTCATCAAGCAGGCTCTTAGTAGCTGTTTCGCTTCTTTTCCTCCACGGCACAGAATTGGTGTCTCATCTCCCCAATTAGTTGTGTAGTTACCACCTTGAGACTGTGCTGTGGCTGGGTGCTTGTCCTGAGTGTGCTTTGTTTTAAGCCAAAAGATGAATAAATTAACTGTAAGCTGATTGATACCAGCCTCAGAAAATCATCTTAGGAATTTACTGTCTAGTCACCCAATCTACTTGCTTAGCTTTACCATGGTGATGATGAAAAATAAACTCTCTACTTGCCAAGGACAAGTAGAATTTTCAAAGGCTGATCTGTATGCACTAAATATGGACTGTGTTTGAGGGAGAGATTTTAATGCTTTCTCTTCATGACTGTGAGGCAGAGAAAGGTGGTGAGCATCCTGGATTCCTGTTGCAACTGAAGACACTTGTTACTTTAGAGACTAACCAATTTATTTGAGCATAAGCTTTTGTGAGCTACAGCTCACTTCATCGGATGCATCCGTTGAAGTGAGCTGTAGCTCACGAAAGCTTATGCTCAAATAAATTGGTTAGTCTCTGAGGTGCCACAAGTACTCCTTTTCTTTTTGAGAATACAGACTAACACGGCTGTTACTCTGAAACTTGTTACTTTGGAACAGCAGGCTCTCTGTCAGCAGTCAGCATAGGTTGGAGTGTAGATGGCTCTAGTGTCAGGAGGATGATGATTCCGTGTTGTGGCGGAAACTTATTTTCGTTCCATGTTGGAACACAAACAGGCTTTCCAACATCTTTATGAATGTGAAATTGCTGATATTGGGTCAAAAGTTGAGGTTTTCTAGTCAGGGAGATTTTTGGGCCCAGGTAGGTGGAGGGGCAGGGGAGAAGCATGGGGGTGTCTCATGTTATATAGCCTGGTGGTTAGGGCACTGGGCTGGAATGTGGGAGACCCATGTTCTAATTCCTGCTCTACCTGATACAGAGCAGAGTTCTTCATCCCAGATCATTCTAAATCAGGCAGAGTGAGGACTTGAACTTGGGTGTTCCGGGCTGGTGCTCTAGCCATCAGGCTATAGAGGGTGAGGGTTTCTGTCTTTCAAGTCCTGGACCAAAAAACCTTCCAGGTGATTGTCAAAACCAGTACATCTCCGCAAAATGTTTGAGCTTTGATGAAAGTTCATTTGGTCAAAAATGATTCCATCCAACTCGAGTTGAACCAGGGCCAGTTCAGCTCTTGTATAAAAGATCCATGCTGTGGTGAGGTGATAAATGAGATGATATCTAAGATGAACACCTAATGGAGGCACTGATGTCTAGACGCTTAGACCTAGGCTCCAACAGTTGAGGACTCCTGGGTTCTAAACCTGGTTTATTGTGTTACGCTGGGCAAGTCATTTCTCCATACTTCAGTTACCCCAGCTGTAAAATGAGGATGAAAATAATCCTTTTTGTCAAGACTTTTGACATCTATAGAAGCCAGAATGCTCAGTAGAAAGTACTGCTCATTTTTCGAAAGACCACAGTTAAGGGGTGGGCTCGTGAGTCTGTAAGGACTTGAAGGGCATAGGTACCAAGAAGAGGAATTATTTAGGATGCTTCAACTGGGCATATCTTGGCGGAATAGGCTGAATGTTAAGGGAAGACTTCCTGCCTGTGAGATCTACTAGCCCAGTGGCTCGCAACCTTTCCAGACTACTGGACTCCTTTCAGGAGTTTGATTTGTCTTGTGTACCCCCAAGTTTCACCACACTTAAAAACTACTTGCTTACAAAATCACACACAAAAATACAAAAGTAGCACAGCACGCTATTACTGACAAATTGACTTTCTCATTTCTACAATATAATTGTAACATAAATCAATTGGAATATAAATATTGTACTTACAGTTCAGTGTATAGTGTACGTAGTGCAGTATAAACAAGTCATTGTATGAAATTTTAGTTTGTCCTGACTTTGCTAGTGCTTTTTATGTAGCCTGTTGTAAGCCTAGGCAAATATCTTGATGAGCGGGGAGAGGGATAGCTCAGTGGTTTGAGCATTGGCCTGCTAAACCCAGGGTTGTGAGTTCAATCCTCGAGGGGGCCATTTAGGGATCTGGGGCAAAAATTGGGGATTGGTCCTGCTTTGACCAGGGGGTTGGACTAGATGACCTTCTGAGGTCCCTTCCAACCCTGGTATTCTATGATTCTACCCCCTAGAAGATGTCTGCATACCCTCAGGGCTACACGGAACCCTCGTTGAGAACCAGTGTACTAGCCTGTGCAATGGTCTCACCCAGGAAAGATGGTAGAAGTCCCCTGGACATTTACACTAGGTTGGACAGAGCCTTGGAGAATGTACTGTAGGAAGCAATCTTGCATTTGGGCCCCAGTGAGTATAGATGAGAAGCATCCCATTGGGGCTTTTATCTTGCTTGGAGAAAGGACCAAATCCTTTAGTGAAATCTGTGCTTGTTTTAGCTGCTCACTTCCTCCTTGCTCCCACCATTCTGTTGCCCCGCCCAAAAACAATGCACCAACTGCCTCCTCAGAGATCTCTGGCCTTGCTGCCCAGGCCGCCTACCTTCCTTTAATTCATCTGTTGGGCTGGAAGAGCAGGAAGGCTTTGCTGTGTCCTGCCTTTTTGAAGCTCATTTGCATGTTGCTTCTCTGGTATTGAAAATCAGTAACAGGGGTGGGCAGGCTGGTGCTGGCCAGTTGGTGCTTGTCTCAACTCTCTTGGCTTGTTATGTGAGGGAGCTGGAAATGCCAAGATAGGGAATCACAGTTGTGCTTATTCGAGAAGCTTAGCAAAGGGGGTTTTCTTGGAAATGTCTAAAGGGCTCTCAGGAAGTCCACTTAACACAGGCAATGGGTGCATCCATTTCTGGGCACTGTTGATTTGCCACTATTGATTCACAGTTCAAGACGGGTTCATTCATATCCTGGGAATTCTAGAACCCTGCCAGAATTCTAATCTGTCCACTGAAGGGTTAGTATCCAGAACAATTGTCTGGATTGGTTCTGGATGACAGCCATGCTAGTGCATTGAGCTGGTACAATAATGAGGGAGAGTCTGAAGGAATAAAGAAAACTGATTAGGCTTCTAATTCAGTTTTGTAAAAACAGCACAGTGTTTGGCTTAAAATTGCAGTGGGGACTCTCATGTCTAAACATGGAGTGTCTGCACCCCACGGCTGAGAATCTGCGAGTGACACAGACTGTAGTTGTCT